TTAGGTGTGCAAAGTCAGAGCCATAATTTAGTCATTTTTGTGTGTGTCTGTGTGGCTTTTGTGTCTTTTCGTGTGTTTTTTTATGTTCCGTCCGGTGTTTTTTTGTGTGTTTTTTTGTGTTTTTTTGTGTTGGTTTGTGTTTTTTGTTTTGGTTTGTGTTTTTTTGTGCGGGAGGAATCTGCCGCGGTCGATCGCCCAGGAGGGTTCGAGTGCCGCCCCGGCGCGGATCGCCCCCGCCAAGGTTCCCTTAAAAGGGGGAGCTTAGGCGTGGGCTTTTCCCGCAGGCGCCCCCGCTCGCCTGGGAGGGCGCGGGGGGTCCTGGATCGCCTGGGGGGGGTTCCAGGACGGGCCGACTCGCCCTGGCGGGGGTCGGTCCGAGCGGTGGAATCGCCCGGGGGGGTCTCCGCCACTCAGTGCCTGCACGAGTCGCCCGGGGTGGTCTCGCGCGGGAACAGCCCTCGCGCATCGCCCAAGGGGGTCCCACGGGGGCGAGGTAGCCCGGGGGGGCGCCTGGGAGGACAGTGCACGGCGCGAAGGGTTCCCGCAAATCTTTCGCGGGACTCTCGCGAATTCGTCGCGGGGGGCCCGGGCTCTCGCGAATTTTTAGCGGGAGGCGTAACGGTCTGGACAGTCGCGCAGGGGGGGGGGGCGAAGAAGAGAGGAGGGGAAGTCCGATGCCAAAGCCTCGAGGGCCACCTCCGGAGCCAAGCGAATGACGGACAATTGGAGCAGGGAGCGGCTAAGGATAGAGAAGGGGGGCGAAGGATAAGAGCCGGAGGGGAGCGCGAGCGGCGCACCGAGGAGCAGAAGCGCAGAGAGAGGTACTTCTCCGGTTGATCACGCCAAGAGAAGGGCGAGGTTGATGACTAAATTCAGGCTCAAACTTTGCACACGTAATCATCAGCATCATCATCATCATCATCATCATCATCATCATCATCATCATCATCATCATCATCATCATCATCATCATCATCATCATCATCATCATCCGCCTCCTCCTCGTTTTTCTCCCCCCTCCTCCTCCTCCTCCTCCTCCTCCTCCTCCTCATCCTCCGCCTCCTCTTCCTCCTCCTCCTCCTCCTCCTCCTCCTCCTCCTGCTCCTGCTCTTTGTCCCTCTCCTCCTCCAACCCCGCCTCCTCCTCCTCCTCCTCAGTCGGTCGGTCGGTCGGTCGATAAAGGCGCAAAGAAGTCGATACCCGTACTAAAAGTCAAGGCGAGTAAAAAGGGGCGGACAATGCAGCAAGGTGGAAGGGGCGCAGACTGCAAGCATGGACAGGATTAGCGAGCCAGTCGGTCCGCCAGCCCCCACGGGCTCCGCCTCCTGCAACAAGCAGGCAGGACAGGCTGTCCCTTGGAGAAGCGGCAAAGAAGGCAGTACCGTAGTGGGACTGCTGCCGGAAGCAATGGCAGTGGGAGCCTGCAGATCCATGGTAATGATGGCAGCGACGATGGCGGACAAGACGACATCCATGAAAGGGGGGGTCAACAGGGCAGCAAGGCCCAACCCCACCCCTCGCATCGACGTCTCCAACGTGCTCCAGTCGCTGGCGCAGCCAATGGACGTGCACTGCCATAAAGCGAATCTTCGGGACGCGTGGGACCAATGAAGCCTCCTCAACCTGTTCGACAGACACTCCTGCGCACTGCGTCAAGGGAGCGGCAACCCGAGAGGCCCACCCAGAAACGTGTCCCGCCAAGGAAGGAGGGGGGTGGCACCACAAAGCAGGAGTCCCCATCTTCCACGCAACGTGTCTGTTTGTTTTGTTTTTTGTCTAAACAAAAAACAACACAACAAAAGCAACAAAAAAAACTGCGCTGTCCAGGCGGACAAGGTCGGCGGCGCACGCACCGAGAGGTGGGTTGCCAAGGGGGTGGTCAGGGGACCTGGTCATGCACTTGTTGCCAGCCTCGTGGGCGGGCCATAAAGTGCGCAACGAGGGGGTTAAAGGAAACCAGCGATCTTACCTCCCCCCCCCCTTACAGTCTTGGCTCAGCTGGGCTAGCTGGCTGTCCCAAGTGAGGGGACCCGTCACAACCAGAGCCAAATGGATGGAACTATTCGTCGCGGCAGCGTGCGTGTGCCAGCACTCCATGCGGGCACACAAACACTCCCTCGGAGCACAGGACAACGATAAGGCGAGAGCTGCAACGTGGCTTGGCAGGGAAAACAAGCGGGGGTGGCGACCAATCATGAGCAGGGGGGAGCCAAGGGGGTGAGAGGGGCAGATGGCGGAATGTCACCTCGCGACTTGGGGGCCATAGCAGGCCCGATCACACGAACAGGAGCCACGTTCGCAAAGTTGGCGGGCATACACTTCTTCCTTTAGAGCTCTGGACAAGCCTGGTCGACTCTTGAGCCTGCTGGAGGTCCTCAGGAAGGGGGGGGCTGTTAACATTAGCAACGGCAGAGAAACACTGCTTAGCAGCAGCAAATTGCTTAGCAAGGCGGGCAGGGTTGCCGGAATTGTGAAGGCAAATCTGACACGTGTCGCCGACAGCAAAATCATATGGCGTCCTACCCTGCTTGTGCTCTTTGGTCAGATGAATGCGCATCGCCGTCGCCGCGCGGGCAACATGGCCGCAGTCCCCGCAAACGAATCCCTCAGAGGGAGGCGGGGGATGGGGAGGAGCAAGAGGGGTGCCTTGGACGACCGTACGCATGCTGGTGTCCCATATGGTCTGCGCGTGCTGCGCTCGAGCCACCCTACGAGCACGGTCCAAGACCCTAGATATCAAAGCAAGGTACTGACGGGGGCGATCTCGGGCGAAGGCAATCCAATAAGCCATGAAATTTTGGCCTCCCACAGATCTCTCAGCCTCGTCAAGAAAGAAATCCACCCACCGTAAGCTCTGCGA